CTCTTAACATTTCTGTAATAACATATGTGTCAAACAATAAAAATTAATTTTCCCCATTGAGAAAAATTTATTATAATATTTACTAAGATGATGATTGCAGCCATGAAATTAAAAGACGCTTGCTCCTTGGAAAAAAAGTTATGACCAACCTAGACAGCATATTTAAAAGCAGAGACATTACTTTGCCAACAAAGGTCCATCTAGTCAGGGCTATGGTTTTTCCAGTAGTCTTGTATGGATGTGAGAATTGGATGATAAAGAAAGCTGAGCGTCAAAGAATTGATGCTTTTGAACTATGGTGTTGGAGAAGACTCTTTAGAGTCCCTTGGACTGCAAGGAGATCCAACCAGTCCATCCTAAAGGAGATCAGTCCTAGGTGTTCATTGGAAGGACTGATGTTGAAACTGAAACTCCAATACTTCAGCCAGCTGATGTGAAGAGCTGACTCATTTGAAAAGACCCTGATGCTGGGAAAGATTGAGGGCAGAAGGAGAAGGGGACGATAGAGGATGAGATGGCTGGATGGCATCCCCGACTCGATGGACATGAGTTTGAGTAAACTCCGGGAGTTGGTGATGGACCGGAAAGCCTGGCATGCTGCGGTTCATGGGATCACAAAGAGTCGGACACAACTGAGCGACTGAACTGAACTGAAGGGCTTCAGATTTAAATTTCTTCTTAATATGCCTAGAGAACAAGTATAAAGGTATAAAAGAAAAATTTTCCAAATGATGTGAATCAGGCATCTTAAGAAGAAATGTTAATAGTATCTGAATTTTCACTAATTAATCAATTAATCAAAATTTGTGCTCTTGAATTCAATTTAGTTTGCCTGTTTTATATTTTGCAGATTTTAAATGCATTATTTTAATCTAATTTATTCACTTTAGCATCTCTGTATCTAACATGTTTTATCCACTGGGGCTTCTAATAATTAAGCATATCATTTTTAATGCCATGTATTTTATTTATTTTAATTTTAATTAATGAATTGGAGGCTACTTACTTACAATATTGTAGTGGTTTTTGCCATACACTGACATGAATCAGCCATGGGTGTACATGTGTCCCCCATCCTGAACCTCCTCCCACCTCCCTCCCCATCCCATCCCTCAGGGTCATCCCAGTGCACCAGCCCCGAGCACCCCGCCTCATGCATCAAACCTGGACTGGTGATCTATTTCACATATGGTAATATACATGTTTCAATGCTATTCTCTCAAATCATCCCACCCTTGCATTCTCCCACAGAGTCCAAAAGTCTGTTCTTTATATCTGTGTCTCTTTTCCTGTCTCACATAAAGGGTCATCATTACCATCTTTCTAAATTCCATATATATGCGTTAATATACTGTATTGGTATTTTTCTTTCTGACTTACTTCACTCTGTGTAATAGGCTCCAGTTTCATCCACCTCACTGGAACTGATTCAAATGCATTCTTTTCAACAGCTGAGTAATATTCCATTGTGTATATGTAGCACAGCTTTATTATCCATTCACCTGCTGATAGGCATCTAGGTTGCTTCCATGCCCTGGCTATTGTAAACAGTACTGCGATGAACATTGGGGTACACATGTCTCTTTCAATTCTGGTTTCCTCAATGCCATGTATTTTAATGTCCTTCCTTACCTTTATGCCCTTATTCCCCTCTTTACTAGTTTAAGTTTCAAAGTCTATCACACTTTGCACACATACATAATTCTTTGACTCTGTATTCTACTGACTTCACAAAATCTGAACCCAGCTAAACCCAACTTTAACTCCTTGACACCTGTGCCTAAGCAGCAGTATACAACCAGAAAAAATCAAGAGAACCCTCCTGGCTTGCTTCACTTTAAATTTACAACAAGAAGAGTCTAAGTGGGCCCTCAGCATTGCCCAGCTATAAAATCATCTTGTGTTAATTTCACACTTTGCTCTCTACTCTGACATAATTTTTCAATAACTTTTTTTTCTTCTCAAAACTCTCCCTCTCCTCATTCTAAGCTTTCTTGACTCTAAGAAAAAAGAGAAGCAATTAGAAGAAAGCTAAGTAAATTGGTAACATTGAGTATACCAAACGGCCTAGATATATACCTCATATTATATGTTCATGTCTCACAGCAAATTCTATTTTCTCTTCCATCAATATTTGTCTTGACTGAATTCTTTTCATAACCTTCACTGCCAACATTCTAGACCTTGCTATCATGATATCCTGCCTAAACTAATGCAATCACTTACTAACCAATCTCCCCACCTTCACACTTGACTTACACTTATTATTCACAGAGAAGTGACAGTGTTATTTTTTAAATATGTATTAAAATGTTTATACTTTTCTCTATGTACACAAACAGCAATGACTTTCAATTATACTTAGAATAAAGAATTCCTTATCAAGAGGGCATTACTATGCTATTTCACCAAAATCATTTCCTCTGCCCTATGCATTATAGTTTGGACACACTGGTCTACCTGTTGCTTCCAAATACGCCAAGCTCAGTCACCCCTCAGGACTTTTGCACTTGTGTTTTCTTGGTCTAGAATACTTTTATTCCAGATCGTCACATATTCTGCTTCTTAATTTCAGTTACAACTCTCATCAAATATCACTACATTAGAAAGGTCTGGGATTACTTCACATGAAATAGGACACTTCTGTAACGCTGTGTCATACACTGCTTTACTCCTTGGTTGCTTTCGTCATTCCCTGACATGGTGTCCCCTGCTTATTTATATATTTGCTTCTGTCAGTCCATGTGTTCCATGAAGGGAGGTACTTTGTCTTGTACACCACTATATCACCACAACACAGGCTAGTGCTTGGCATCTGTCAGATATTCCTAAACATTTGTGGAATAAGTTATTTTATCAGCTTCTTAGAACTAATAAAAACGGCCATAAACTTAACAGCATGAGATAAGAGAAATTTATTCTCTCATCATTCAGAGTCTGAAACAATGGTGACAGCAGGGTGGCTCCTTCTTGGGGGTTCATGTGTTGCATGCCTCTCTCCTGGCTTCTGGTCATCCAGCCAATCCTTGATGTTCCTTATCCATAGACATGTCTCTCCATTTTCTCCCTCCATCTTCATGTGGTGTATTCTGTGTTTCTTCACATTCTCTTCCCCATTCATGTTGCTTTGACCAATTTTCTTATAAGTACACCAGTCATCAGATTACACCAAACCCTAATCCTCTATGACCTCATCTGAATTCAGTTACATCTGCAAAAATTCTATTTCTAAATAAGATCCAAAGTCTGAGGTTCTGAGTGGACATAAATTTTGTGGGAGAGATGGGACATAATTCAACTCAGTACAGTTGTATCAAATTATAAAGATTAAAAATTTTCAAATCATATAAGAATAATTTTAGGATATAACTTGGATGCTATGTCTAACATTTTTTAAAATCCTGGCAAAGAGGTTGACTATTTGAGTGATCCTCTTATGTACCTTTTCAACCCTCATTCTTTCATTCAAATATATGTTCTTTTATTTTAAAAAGTATTGTTGAATGTTTATTACAAATACTGTGCTAAATAATTGTTTAGTCACTATCACATTAAACTCTTTGAGACCTTGTCACGCTCCTCTGTCTATGGGATTTTCTTGGCAAGAATACTGGAGTAGGTGGCCATTTCCTTCTCCAGGGGATCTTCTTGACCCCGGGATCGAACCCATGTCTCCTGCATCGGCAGGAAGATTATAGCTGAACCATCAGGGAAGCCTTGCTAAGTAACGGAGACACATTAATTAGCAAGACAAGACGGTCTTTCTATCTTGCTATCTTCTCTCAGGAGGTTGACAATCTATTTGAGTGATAGTTACTTTTTTAGGACATGTGCTATGACCTGAAATTTTCAGCTGCTATCAGTCAAGTTGCATTAGTAAACTAATTTGACATACTCCGGTTGAGTAATATGAGGAAAGTTTAATAAAAGAACAATTTAAAAACTTTTAAGGCAGGTTTTGGGTTAGTAATCAAGAAATAATACAGTACCACAGGAATAGTAATAACAGACATCATTTACTATCTTTAGACCTGAAGGGCAAAGAGGAAAGAAAGGATGAAAAATAGGACTCTTTGATAGTATCTCTATATCTAGAAGACAGATTATAACCACAGTTCTATGTGTTCATTTTTTAGGAAATGCCTGAGTTATTGTGGACAAACTTTTGCCTTGATTTTACAATACCTAAGCTTTTTAGATGCTTTGAGGAAATGATGTATAACAAAAAAATAGAACCAGTGAATTAACTAACTTATGAATATCTTTTTGTTATATATGAAAGAAGCATCTTAAACATGGAATTGTTAAGTCATCTCTGAAGCACTATGAAGCAAGACTTTTTTCACTGTGGTGGCAACAAAAGGCAAAATGAAGTGTAACATAAGGAGTTTATGCAGGTGTGTTTATGTTTCAGTTTGATTATAACCACTGGTGTATTTGTGTATTTCTTTTGGCCATACTATATGAATAGATTTTTAAACAATTAAATGAAAATAATCTCTCAATAATACTTGAATAGTACAAATTTTAAAATCATCTTGAAGTATTATGCTTTTTGGACTTTATTGCTCTGGGTCTCATTTTAGATTGCACATTAAGAAAATATGGTATTTTAATTGTAACTTAGAAAAAATCTACTTGGAGGTCTGTTATCATTTTGTCTTTTAAGCAAATTTTCTCCCACAATAGCTGGATTATATCTCTTTTCTGATTGTTAGAGTGTAGTGTATTTTTGATAATCAAACTACCCATGGCTTTGGGATTTTGAATCATGGTAAATATTCACCATGTGCAAAAACGCATGATATATACTATACTATCACATAAAAATATGTTTCACTGTGTATTATATATACACACAAAAAGTGAAGTTACTCAGTCATGTCTAACTCTTTGCAACCCCATGGACTGTAGCCTGACAGGCTGCTCTGTCCATGGAATTTTCCAGGCAAGAATACTGCAGTGTTTTGCCATTTCCTTCTCCATAGGATCAGACAAATATGGAGATACCATTAGAGACTAGACAAATACATCAAATTACCGACTGTTTGTAATCACGGATGATTCTGTGTTCCTGGCTGCCTTTGCTTCTCAGATTTCTATAACATATATGTATACTTTTAAAAGTTGGAGGGGGAAAGTATCATTAAAGTCAAGGTAAGTGGTGCTTAAGACAAATTAGCAGACTCTTGAGGGAATACAATATAAGGACTACAGGGGGAAGTTAGGATAAATGAAACATTTTGGGGACAACATGGTGATCTACTATGGATTGAGTATGTTACAAGTAAAAAAAAAATATGAAATATTTGAAACTGCAAGTGTGATATCATATATTTTCTAAAGTCTTTGCTGCCTGTTTCAGAATCCTGCTGATAGTGGGTCTTTGAAATATCGTCCTCACAACCTCATACATTATCAGGTGAAGAGCAGTTCATTAGGCTCACTGCCATCATTCCCAACTCATCACTTTAATGTAAGCCAAAACTTTTCACACTAATATAGGAGCAAGCTTCATCACTGCACCTGTTAAAGCACTTTGGCCTGGTCTGTCTCAAACCATTGTTTGATATTCCTGTGCCTATTTCTTTCATGAACATGTGTCTCATCCTAAGGTACCCAGGCTATGATACCACTCTTCAAAAGGTGGTATTGCACAATGGAGAACTGAGACTTCAGTACCAGATTACCTGGGCTTAAATATGCCAAATGAGAATATTTATATAGCATAATGATACTGAATGTGCATATATACACACACACATGCATATATATATTTTATAACAATTCTAGAACAAAGATTTTATATAGATATAAAATTCTAGATCAAAGATTATTAATCTTATAAATAACATATAGTCAGAAGTGCCCTGGTATGCAGACATTATTTATGACCATTTCCAACAAAGTTTTATGATAAAGTAATTATTAGTATTTCTTTCTCTTAGTCCAATAATATAAAAAGCATTCCCACATATGTTTTCACATGTGCCAGCCACTCCAAGACATAATTAGGCTAGATATTGTTATACACTTTTGGTTTGCAGAGGTTGGATACTGAGTAAAGACACAGACACTGAGTTTACCCAAAGACACAGTAACAAGTGGAAATTAATTTCCCATCTCTTAGAGCAGCATTCCCTGAATACAATCATTTTTCTCATTTATTTTTATACCAAGGGTGATTGCTAAGTACCAACATGTATACAAACTCCGGACCTTCAGAAACCCAAAGCAGACCTGAGCAGTCCTTCCTCGTGCTCCTCCCCAATCCTCCGTACTGTCCTAAAGGAAACTACCATCAGTTTACCCAAGATACCAAGGAATAGAAAATCTGTTTGCCACCCACAGCCTGGATCCCATGGGGTCGCAGAGAGTCAGACATGACTGAGCGACTGAACTGAACTGAATAGCGTGGATCAGGTGTCAGCAAATATTTTTCTGAAAAGAGTCAGTAAATATTTTTGAATTTGCAGTGAGAACTAATCACCTCTGCCTTTGCAGTGTGAAAGCAGCTATAAGTGATATGTGAATGAGATATGTGAAGGAATCAGCAAGCCCAAATATGGTTGGAAAGAAGCTCAATACGGGTCCCCACCCCCAGATGATTTCTGAGAAAACTTCTCAAAACCAACATTCCATGGTTACATCTGCCGACAAAAGCAAAACTTGCATATGAACCTCTGTTCGGCCTATCATTGCCATAGTGATAAATATTACTCATAGGACAGTCTGTCATTTTTAAGAATTTAAATGAACTGAAAACATTTAAAAAATCATTCTTTGCAAGCAACAGAAACCTAAAATAAAACTGGCTTAAATAATAAAGAGAAGTACCTGACTGAACAGACAAGAGGTGGCTCTAATTTCAGGCCAGGATAGTTCAAGAATAAAAGAATTGTGGCCAAATAAAGAAATAAACCAAATAAAGAATTAAATCATAAAAGAGAAATATGAACTGTATCACTGCCACAAAAAAAGAAATTTATCCATTAAAAACATACAACAATGAAGGGAAAATGTAGGTACTATATTGCTACTACATTTATTCTGGTCAAGTCCTGTTTCATTAAGTAGCGTTAGTCATTCAGTCGTGTCCGACTCTTTGTGACCCCACAGACTATAGCCCACCAGGCTCCTCTGTCCATGTGATTCTCCAAGCAAGAATAGTGGAGTGGCTTGCTATTCCCTTCTCCAGAGGATCTTCCTTACCCAGGGATCAAACCCAAGTTTCTTGCATTGCAGGCATTTTCTTTACTGTCTGAGCTACAGAGACATCCCTGTTTCATTAAGAAATATGTCTTTACATCAAAACTGTTTGGCTGATCTGTTTACTATCATGTCTTTCTAAAAATGTCTAGTCAAATAGGATCAAAATATCCTATATTATGTACCCATCAATGCAACAGTGATCAATGTAACAATAATCCCTGGTCTTCATTTATTTAGAAAATCTAATTTTGTAGGCTATGCACTGAAATGAAAAGAAAATTGTGATAAAATTCCAAGTCTAAATAACAAGACAGAAAAATACAGTATCATCCCAACTTTTCTTGCATATGTATGTACCTATAGGTATACCAGAGACAAGTGCAGATACAAATTGACTTTTTTCACATGCAACCACCCTCACCCTAAAAAAGTAATTTGATCCTCTGCTGGGAAATTTGCCTCTTTCCTATTATCAAGAACGTGGTCTCAGAGGGATGAATTCCTAGGGTTAGGTACTGACTGACTTCGCATACCTCATTCCTTAGTTCAAAATATTTATTTCATAAATAGTCATTTAGATTATAATCTAAATGAGATGAGAGAAAATATTTACTAAGACTTCTGGAGAGAAAGGAAGTTTCTTCGTTGTTGTTCTCTTGGCTTTTGCTGTTGTTTATCTGTTTTGCAGGGCTACCATATGAAATTCTTTTGCACTTAAACAGGAAAGAATGAAGACTGATGAAATAACAGCATACATTCTCTAAATATAAAGGTAGGACTGTACTATCAAAAACAAAACTGAGAATAAGAGGGAGAAAAGCAGAGTCCAGACCACAGTTCTTTTATTCTTGAATCAATCCAAACCTTAAATTCAATAGATCTCTTATGGTAGGTCAGATGGTAAAGAATCTGCCTGCAATATAGGAGACCCAGGTTCGCTCCAAGTTGTGAAGATCCCCTGAAGTAGAGAATGACAACCCACTCCAGTATTCTTGCCTGGAGAATCCCATGGACAGACCAGACCATGGGGTCACAAAGAGCTGGACATGACTGAGCAACTAACACTTAGCTGTTAATAGGCTCGGCAATTTTCTTTATTATTTAAGCAAGCTGAATTTTAGGTTTCGTTACTTACAAAGTATGATTTGTAAAATTCACTTAATTTACATTCTCAAAATACTAATAACAACAGAGTGCCAATTAATATACATGGTAAGTATCTGACAGTCTTGTGAAGCATGTCTCTTATTCCACATAGGAAATGCAATGTGAAAACATCTGTTTCCCTGGATTTCCTGAGCATATGTACATTTCAGACCAATTACTTCACTTGAATTATTTTACCATAGGCTGCAGTTCTGTTTGTTTAAAAGCATAAATACCAATATAGTGCTATTTCAGTATCAGTGCAGGTTATTTTACAAGGCTGTAAACTTCATCTTTCTTTGCTTGCATAATGATCATAACAACAAGTGTACGTCAGTCTCTGTGAGGTTTTCAGTAAAATCAGTGCCTTCAAAATATTTTGAAGCGCAGGAAACTTTGAATTTATGAAATATTTATGAGAAATCGCATCATGTCTACAGCGGTTCTCAGCTGTGACTACAGCATATGCTTTATAAATTGAAACAGGTGTGGGAGAACAGGTGGTCACAGCCAAGCCAGGGAAGGACTGGAATTTATTGTGGGGAAACATGATAAAATAGCACCACTGGCATTGAAGGCAACTTGCTGACTTGAGAGCAGAACCTAAAAGATCTTCACAGGGGCAAATAACATATGACAGCACTTGAGATGAACGTGTTCACCTACTCAAATCCCACATATGGAAGCTGGGAAGCAGTCGGTGTTTTTTATATGGTGAGCAAATGCAAGTGACTCTTTATATTAAATTTCACTAGCATGATGTCAACTGCATTAAAAAAAAAAGAAAGAATAAACTCTTTCTCTTACCTATTTTAATACAAACCTAGTTCAAATGAGAGTTAGAGTCACTTTCACCTGTGTTATATATGCTATTTCTAAGGATAATGCCACATATGCTATCCTACATCCACAAACTTCATGCATCAGAAAAGTACCCTCTTTTTGTAGAGGGGGTGGCTATAATATCCTCCTATTATTTCAAAAATACCTTCAAAATAACTCATCTTAAAATAATATGCTGTTTAAGAATAAAAGTAACAGAAGATAGCATTAATGATTTTTAAACCTCCTCCCCACCAAACTTCCAATACCTCAGTCTACATTCAGATCTTAGAAGTTCCTCCTAATGAAAGTAATTGAGACACCAGAGCTAAGAAGAGTGCATCTAGATTAGTTTAGGATGAGCATACATACTTACATTTAAATATGAGCATCTGACATCTTCTAGAGATTCACAAAGCTTCAAATAAAATATTTTATGGTGTTATATTTTAAAAGATACGCTAACCCTGGCCAGTGCTGATGTCTGAGTAATTTCCTAGGCCCAGCAAACATACCAAGTTTCCAGAGCCCTGAAGATAAGGTGTAACACCCCAAAACATGGACTCATTTTCCATTCTACCTTAGTCCACCGCATCTCTGGATACCTGGCAAACAAATGCAGTATTACCTCATGAACTGACTGTGTATCTTAAGTACTCACCAGTGGATTTGGGGAGAAGCTTTGAGAACAAGTTGAGGAGCAGCTGTCCTTTGAGATTGAAGAGATTCCATTAAAGAATTTGGATGTCATGAAGGAGGCAATGGTTCAGACAGAGGAAGCGGCTGCTGAGATTATTAGGCAACAGGAGATGAAGCACTTTGAGAAGGAAAAGAAGTGGCTGGCTGCAATTGCCCTGGAATCTTCAGAAAATAGCAGGAGTACTCCAGAGGAGGGTGAAAAGACAAGTGAAAGACCAGAAAAGAAGAAAGAGAAAAAGTGCCAGGAGTCTCCTCAGGAAAATGGAATGGAAGACCCATCTGTCTCCTTTTCCAAACCCAAGGAAAAGAAATAATTTTTCAAGGAGAAACTGGATAGCAGTGATCTTGAAGAGAGAGCTGGCAGTGGAATCTTCCCAAGAGGAAGAAATCTTTTTCAAAGAAGAACCAGTTAGGGGCCCCTAGGAGTCAAGAAATAAAAGAAAATGGGAAATTGTCTTCCAGGGAGGAGCCACTTGGCAGCGGACCTGAAGATGCTGCTGCCGGCAAGCATAGTGGCTCCAAGAGAAAGAAAAAGCTACCAAAGCTATCCCAGGAAAAGAAGAATGGACATTTCCCTGGTGGCGCCTACCTTGCAGAGATATTTCCCAACCCATCACCTATAGACCAATAAAAATAAAAGCAAAATCATGAGAGGAAAGAAAAAAAAAAAAGATACCTTATAAAATCGAGAGAGAAACTCTTCCTTATCCTTGTCCTAGTTCATATTCTGACATGTACTCAAATGAGAACGGACACCACAGCCTCAGAGAGTTGGGCGAAACCTAAGGTAAACCAAACTACCCTTCTTTAATTCTCTAAAATTCGTTCTACAATTACATAGTTTGTCTTAACATATGTATGAGGGGTCTTTTTCAGAAAAGAAAGCAAGGCAGAGTGAAAAGTCACACAGGGCTTTATAACCAAATTCCCTCCTTACTGAAGGAAAAGCCGATAGAGCGCATGCTCAACGCGGAGTTCACGCCGTCACTCACGCACGCATTACGCACATACGCAAGGAGGTACACGCGGAGGAAGAAACGCACGTGTGTGTGTCCTTGGAGAGTAAGCGTGCCTCTTCCTGCCTGCTGGGGATTTGATTTCTGGCAGTTTTTAGGTGATTCCCGTCTCCCAGCAATTGCCTTAGGATAAAGTTCCCATACAAGACGACTCTGCAAAGCCTTACCGACCCCAGAGCTCATGGTAGATGTGACTCGAACATAGCCTAAGGTCTCCCTCTACCCATTTCTTTACTCTTTGCTTTGTTACAGATACTGAGTCAGTAAGCTTCCTGTACACAAATCTCTGTCTCAGAAGCTGGGAAACGCAGTCTGCAATAGTTAGTGCTATAAGTGGTCCTAGGAAACCTACTGGATCACCTGTCGGCAGCAGACGGAGCATTCAGATCACTTGGCAAGCAGCGATAGTGAAGTTCGTTAAAACTTTTACTGTTAGAAACTGGTATGTGCTGGAAGGGAATGCACTGATAGAAGTAATGTATCGAGGATTAAGAAGCACGCCAAAATAGTATTGGCAAAGGCAAAAGAAATGATAACTATTTCGAGGGAAATCGTTGATTTAGAGGGGGAAAAAGTGAAAGACTGAGCAATTAAATTCTAAAAGGCCCACCTTGACAATATATTAATATAAAGAGACTCCGATCTTATCCTGTCAGGGGATAGGAAAATCAAGTTTAATCATAAAAGTATTAGAAACTCAAAGAAGATTAAGAAACTTGAACTTTTATCCTCAGTAGGTTTGCTGTACCAGTAGAGTCTCCATAAAAATTTGGAGAGCTATAGAATTGGGTAATAGAACATGCTGTCTTTATGAGCAAAACAGAGGTATTGAGAGCATCTCTCGATCTGTGCAAACAATAAAATAAGGATTAATGATCAGAAATCTAAGAGGGCCCACACCAACTAAAAGTCACAACAGTTTGCCTAATTTATGAATTCAAGTCAGTTTTCAGACCCAGAACTCACATACTGTAGCTATTGAGTTTACAGAAGAAAGAACCCTTGCAACAGTGTAGCAAGAAAATGTGGCCATTATTCCCCCCATTCCTTCTTCAAGGAAATCTGTAGCCACTGAGTACTTTCCCTACTGAACCTACTCTAGGGAAAGTAGAATACCCAAAAGATATTGAAGACACAAAATCCAAACTGGCATAGACAACCAGAGGCCTAAAGCATCATCAAGCCCTTTTTTGAGAGTGTAATTTATGGAGGCCAGGCAATAAATGGAATTTTGGCCAGGTGTGGCCCACATTGGGTCCACTTCATCCATAAACCCACCTAATACCAGTTTTCTTGTCCAAATATAATATATCCCCAGTTATAAAATCTTATGGACATATTTGGTAGTTGGCAGGCCCCACATTGACTCCTTATCCTGTGAGGTAAGACCTATTCATAGTGGGAAGGTCAAGTGGCAATTTTCTAAAGCCCACCACCCCAAGCCAAAATAGAAAAATAAAAGCAATATCATAGCTTGGAGGAAATAGAATAGGTTAATGTTATTCTTTGGGTGGTGATGCCCATTATATCTCCACTCTATTCATGTCTCTAAAAATGCCAAGTGGATTCTGGAGGATGGTATTGACTCATGCCATCTCAACCACTCAGCAATTCCAATTACATTTGTGTGGAATGAGGAATTTTTGCTAGATCATATTAACACAGCCTCAGTACATATTATGCAATCAGTGATCTTACAAATATATTTCCCTCCCTATCAAGAATGAAGGTTAGAAATGGTATTTCTAAGTATTAAGACAGATTAGAATATACTTGTCACAGGCCTATAATAACACTTATCCTGTAAAAAAAAAAAAATAGTCCAATGGCAACAGGACCAAGTGAAAACCCCACAGATAGATGATTTCATCTTAATGACACCAGGTGGACAAGAGGGGCAAGGGAGTTGAAATCCTGGGAGGACAAATCCTGCGGAGGATATTAGATGACCCTTATAAATATTTGGAGGGTAGATACCACTGAGATCTGGAACAAGTCTGGAGTTCTCAACCATGCCCAGGCATCCTCTCCAATGTAAAAGAAAAATTTTTGCATTTTGCATCTCCTGCCACTAAGAATTAAGTGTAATGTCTATTTAGTCTCTTGAGTTTTAGGAATGGGATGTTCCATCTCTGAGAATGCGATTTTGATCCATATATCATGTGACAAAGTGCTCCCAGCTTTGAGTAGCACCTACAAGGAATGTGCTTGCAAACTCTGGTGCATGCCAGTATGACCGTATGACCTAGTACAGTAGTACTGAGGTACCTGTGCTAGGGAAAAGAGGTGGTGCACAGTTAATGACAGGTCCTAATGAGAGAATCACTGGCACAGACTACTGAAATTCTGGGTAAAGTTCATGCTCTCTATAGCAGAGAATTATATACCTTTTGAAAAACAGAGGTGGGGACAATGTCTACTGCAAGAAACTAGCTTATATGTTTTGAGGGGCTGGCTATGCAAGTCAGAAATCCACAGGCCAGGCCATCAGAAAGGGTAGCTCAAAACTTTCAGGCAGGAGCTGAGGCTGTGATCCACAGGGGGACTTTCTTCTACCTCAGGGAAATCTCAGTTCTTCTCTTGAAACTGTGGATTGATTGGATCCAGTCCACCCAGATTGTCTAGGATAGTCTCCTTTCCTTAAAGTTGGCTGATCATAGATGCCGATCACATTTACAAAATACTTCCAAAGCAACACCTCAATTAATATTTGACTGAAAAACGTAAACTGTGACTTAGTCCAAAGGGAATAAACTGACCATCACACTTGTCTTTTTTTAAGCCCACTGCTTTATGTGTCTAGCAGAAATCCATTGTGGTATAAAAGAGATTCATTCAGAATTACAGATGAACAGGGTGGGACGGCATGATCAGGTGACCAGACTTCCGTGTCATCTACCACTGTTTTATCAATGACCTATCTTAAAATGGACTTGTATACCCCTTAGTCTCATTCAGAAGTGACCCTAAAAGACAAAAATTAAGGGAAATACTCTCAGTATATAGACATCTGATGGTTAATCTGGCCATCCACTTTGTGTGGGAAGAGAAGTGTACATTCCATAGAATGTATGTAGATTTATGAAAACTGGTCAATGACTTGGCTAGGGAATAAAGGGCTTGGAAAGATTCAAATAAGAGAACAAAGAAGTCTTATAGGATAAGCATATTCAAAATAGGTATGAACTATGAGGATCTTTGCATCACATGTCAACACCCATTAGAAAACATCCTAGAAGAGGCACTAAACAACTAAATAGATTGACTAGGCCAGTTGGCATCTTTTCAGAATTTGTCCAGCCGCCACCTCAGTACTGGCACAGTAGACCCATGAACTGCATAATTGTGGCTACCAAGGATGTTTAGATCTAAGAACACTGCTGCCTCTAAACAGTTTACCTGCCAGTGACCAAGACTGATGCTAACTCCTCAATGTGGTACCATCCTTGTAAGAGTCCGTATAGCCACTTGGTGGAAACTAACTCCATTAGACACATTCTGCTCCAAAAGGAGCAGCAACTCTTTTTGATTGACATTGATACGTATCGTGTGTATGGTGTTTCTTTTCCTCCGAGAAGGGCCTAATCTAGCACCTCTAATGGAATGTTCAGTTTACTGACCCAAGATGCTAAATAGCTTTGCATTAGAGCTATTTTACAACACAAGAGGTGCAGATATGGGCATATCAATGTGAAATCCAGGTTCTCATCATATGTTGTACCACTTTGAATCTGCTTTCTTCCCAGTGATTGCCCTCATCTGAAGAGAGTCACGTTGTTCAAGATCAGGCTACTTCCTTGAGACAATCTCCATTCAGTCACCAGTCAGTGTAGGAATGTAAAGACCCATGGGGAGTCCCCTAAAACCTTTACTGTTTTTCATCACAGCCCAACGTCTGCCTCTTCCCAGTCTTGTTTTAGTCACTCCCTTTTCACCATTGTTGACCCAAGAGTAACACTGAATAACATCGCTGCCTGTAAATTGCTATTTCCTACTCAGCCTGTTAGAACATTCAATCTGCTACAGCAGATTATACACAATTGCATAGTTTATTTTCAGATAAAAGCAAACTATTTGCTTAGCCTTAAAAAGAGACCTTATATTGAGTTCTCTTAGTACAAAACATGTAATAGTAATAATTTTAATAAGAGGACATGAAGAAACATTTGGAGGTGATGGATTTGTTTATGGCATAGATTTTGATCATGTTTTCCAAAAAGAGTCTTGTAATTTAAAATAAAGTAAGAATTTCTTTACCCCCCCAAAAAAACTGCTAATATCGTTTTTATGGCACTTGCCTAAAGATATATATGAGCTATTCTCTTAAAAGACATGAAAAAGACCATGTAACCTTTCATAAATAAAATAATAACTTATAAAATATTGCCTAAAATAATGTGTTAGTTTCATGAGTAAATTATCAATTTCTTGAAGTTAAAGCATGTATATGTGTTAATTTGGCATTTATTAGTGCTATAGTTACAGGGTTTCCCAGAAGTCTAGACTAAGCCTTTAAGCATCTCAAACACATACATATTCACAGAAATAAAATCCCTACAAAAGTAAAAATAGTTAAAATTTATTGAATATGTAATATGTGTCAGAAAATATCATCTAACATTGTTATATACATTATATAATGTATATTTCTCAGGGTAGCTCTGAAGTATATGAACTATTACCAATAATAGGTACCAATAAGAAAATTGAAAATTAGAAAGCCCACACAGTTGGTAAGTGGCAGACCTAAGATTATAACTATAGTCTGCTTAAATTTGGAATCATGTTTTTAAATATTATGCAGAAATTTTAATGAGAAAGAGAAATACAATAAAAATAATTAAACTATATATGTTAACCATGCAATACACAGAATACTATGTACACTTGCAAATTCAATTAGGTATGTCAAGTTTACAAACTACTTTTCAAAATTTGTCACAAAAATTCTTTAGTTTTACAAAGACAAAAGCAGATTATAATTGTGTTCACCAGTAATTTATGTATTTGGAGGGTTTTAAACTCAGCTTCTCAAAAATAGTCTCATTTTGATATATTGAACACTTGCTGTTCATTCTTTGAACACCCAGTATAAATTTTTACCAGCCAATTAACAGCATCATGCTAGGAACCTGCATCTCTTTTGTAGTGAAATGTAAACAAAATTTATCAGTCATTTACTTCCCACTTCAAATAAACTAAAATACACTTTGCAAGAGATGTTTGTCAGGTCTAAAGGTCACTTAGAACTTAAGTTAAATACAGTCTCTAGAGGCTGCAGAAAAGTGTTTACCCAAACTCAGACATCTTTATAAAAGCTCTAAAGTGCTTTAGAGTTTTCAGGCAATGGCCTTGAATCACACTTCACAAATGTGTGGTAAACATATTGCATTTTAAAAGAATATCAAAGCATATTTCAAACATTATTAACCCTTCAAAATCTTTCCTAGTCTAAGGGCTAATATCATAGTTGAATATCCAACATCATAAATAATTGATGACTTCTGGTGCTTTTGTTTTGCTTGTTTTGGTGGTTAGCTGCTTCGTGATGAAGTAGTAAATCATGTCATCCCTACTACCTTATGATGATAAATTACTCAGAGCTCTATGATTTCATCTGATAATTCAACGGTTCTTTATTGCCCACTTATTTTCCTCCAGGTGCTCTCCTCACAGTCACAATAAAAGTATTGAACAAACTACACACTCCCTCCCTTCATTAAGATTATTCTCTAGTATGATGGAGTTACAGAAAATAGAGATAGAATTAAATTTCAAATTATAATGAAGAGCTACAGTGAAAATGAACACAGTGATGTGGAGAAACCAGAATTTAAATTGAAGTAATCATCAGTTCAGTCGCTCAGTCATGTCCAACTCTTTGCAACCCCATGGACTGCATCACACCAGGCTTCCCAGTCCATTACTAACTCCTGGAGCTTGTTCAAACTCATGTCTATTGAGTCAGTGATGCCATCCAACCATCTCATTCTCTGTCGTCCCCTTCTCCTCCTGCCTTCAGTCTTTCCCCAGTATCAGTCTTTTCCACTGAATCAGTTATTTGCATCAGGTGTTCAAAGTAATGAAGCTTCAGCTTTAGCATCAGTCCTTCCAATGAATATTCAGGACTGATTTCTTTTAGGATTGACTGATTTGATCTCCTTGCAGTCCAAAGGACTCTCAAGAGTTTTCTTCAACACCACAGTTCAAAAGCATCAATTCTTTGGCACTCAGCTTTCTTTATGGTACAACTCTTACATCCACACATGACTACTGAAAAAACCATAGCTTTGACTCAGTTTAGTTCAGTTCAGTCGCTCAGTCATGTCCAGCTCTTTGCGACCCCATGGACTGCAGCACGCCAGGCCTCCCTGTCCATCACCAACTCCCAGAGTTTACTCAAACTCATGTCTTTTGAGTCAGTGATGCCATCCAACCATCTCATCCTCTGTCATCCCCTTTTCCTCCCTCGTTCTATCTTTCCCAGCATCAGGGTCTTTTCAAATAAGTCAGTTCTTCGCCTTAGATGGCCAAAGTATTGGAGTTTCAGCTTCAACATCAGTCCTTCCAAAGTATATTCAGGACTGATTTCCTTTAGGATGGACTGCTTGGATATCCTTGCAGTCCAAGGGACTCTCAAAAGTCTTCTCCAACACCACAGTTCAAAAGCATTAATTCTTCAGCACTCAGCTTTCTTTAAAGTCGAACTCTTACATCCATACATGACTACTGGAAAAACCATAGCCTTCACTAAATGGACCTTTTTTGGAAAAGTAATGTCTCTGCTTTTTTATATGCTAGCTAGTTTGGTCATAACGTTCCTTCCAAGGAGTAAGCATCTTTTAATTTCATGTCTGCAGTCACCATCTGCAGTGATTTTGGAGCCTCAAAAACTAAAGTCTCACTGTATGCACTGTTTCCCCGTTTATTGGCCATGAAGTGGTGGGACCAGACACCAAGATCTTAGTTTTCTGAATGTTGAGTTTTAAGCCAGCTTTTTCACTCTCCTTTCACTTTCATCAAGAGGCTTTTAAGTTATTCTTCACTTTCTGCCATAAGGGTGGTGTCATCTGCACATCTGAGCTTATTGATATTTTCCTCAGAAATCTTGATGTAGTCATAATCTCTTCTAAATTTTAAGTTCTGATTTTATGTTTAAGAACTCAAACCAGAAATCACCACTTTCTAGATGTCATTCTAGATACTTTAAGGTAGTATTTTGATGTGGCCCATGAAGCTTGTATGAGTTTTCTACCTATGAGGTAAAAAGAAAAAAAAAAAATACAGAATTGTGGCTTAAAGATCAGAAATTTATTTTCTCAGTGTTCAAGATCCAGGTGTAAACAGGGTTCATTTCTTCTGAGACATTTCTCCTTAACTTCCAGGTAGCCACTCTTTCTTATGTCCTCATATTCTTTTTTATCTGTGCACATGCAACCCTGGTGTTTCTTTTTGCATGACCACATTTTCTTTTCTTCTAAGAATACCAAGTAGATTAAATTAGGGGCCACTATACTGGCTGCACTTTGACTTAATCACCTTCTTAAATGTCCTACTTCCAAATGTAGCCACATTTTAAGATACTGGGGATTAGTGCTTAAATGTGACTTTGATAGGGTATAACTCAGCTCGTAACAAAATCCAATATGATTTTTTTTTTTTGCAATTAAGTAGAAGCTTTTTATTAACATCAGGGAAATACAGGGATGGAGGGAGTAGGAATAACATAAACAAATGCATATGCATGAATAAGCACAGGAATTTGACTCTTCGAGGGAATTCTGTGTGTAATCCTGTAGGGTTTTTATGTCTAGCAGTTGGCTTGAATTATACCAGGAACACGGTCCCTGAACTTCTAAAGTTGAAGTCATTCCCAGTGCTGATGTTGGCAGCCATTGGAGTCACATATATCATATACAACGGTGGGGTCAAGTAAGAATGACAGTATTAACCAATCTTTTTCTGTAAATAGGACCAGTCTGAGATAAGGATTGTTATAAATACATATATATAATACATATATGTGTATGCAAATATACATATAAACATTATGTACATATATATACATATTTATACTTGCCTATGTGTATATATGAACATTATAGCAATAGATACATATACTGTAATCCTTGCAACACCATAATCCTTTCAAAACTATAAATTTGGAGTTACTTTATCTGATTTGTAGATGCAGAACCTGAAGTTCAGAGAGGTTAAATAGTCTTCCCTAGATTATAGAGACAGAAGTAGTGGCAGAGATATGATTTGAAGTCACCATTGCCTGACTCCAAAGCCAACATGTGGTTCTTCTTTTAATATATTACTTCTTCGAGGATGAAAATCCTGTTGTCAGGCCTGGTTACTTTTTGTATATGCTTGCTATATGATAGAAGCATGAGCTATGTTTATGCAAGTATCTGGACACCAATATGATTATCCATAGTGAAGGGCAAGGAAGCCTAGAGTGCTGCAGTCCATGGGCTCACAAAGAGTTGGACACAACTTAGTGTCTGAATACAACAACGATTATCCAAGTCTTTCCCACTTTTCAGATTTACCTTCCAGAATGTTTCATAGGTTTTGACTTCAACTAGTTGAATCAACTATTTGACCTATGTAAAATTTTACTGCATTAAAACAGAGAAGATAGTTTCTGAACCAATACTTCCCAGGTTCTCAATAAAACAAAGGAAGTCAAGATTTCAAAATAGAACATTTCCATTTTCTTTCAGATCAGACTTCTGGCTTAATAATCTGCCCAGCTTTACAAGGCAAGATTGCTCATAGGAGACATTAATACTGAATAACAAGTTCATCATTCATAAATGAACTGAAGGGTTACACAGTCAACTAAATCAGAACCCCCTGTGAGATGTATCGAGCCAAGTGATGAAGCCGTAGGAGAAAGAGTAGGAAGCGACAACCCGAAGCAGAAGAACAGGGATTGCATCTGGTCTATCTGATATCTCCCACATCCTCCAGTGACTGTGGCTGCCTGATGAAGTGAAATAAGATGGGAGACCTTTGGGGAGGAAACCTGGAAAAATGAAAGGTCACATTTACCATATAGAACCTTCATTCCACTGATTAATGTCTGTCCTGCCTTGAAGGGCTGATGATTCAATTAGTAATATATGGGGCCAGCACGCCTGTGAAAGGGATTAGTGCCAGGAGGGTCAAGCACAGGAAGTGTGTAGAAATTGACAGTCCAAATTAAACAGAGCAAAACAGAAGAGAATTAAGTGATAGATAATGTGTTCTCTGTGGCAAGAACTAGAGCAGGGGGAAAATGAGGCCTAGTTCTAATCCATAATCACTTAACTATTTTATAACAAAAGTAGGAACTGATATATTGATACTCCAATTTTTAATCTTCCTTACATGAAATAGGGGCTTCCCTGGTGGCTCAGATGGTAAAGAATATGCCTGCAATACAGGAGACTGGGTTCAGTGCCTGGGTTGGGAAAATCCTTTGGAAAAGGGATTGGCAACCCACTCCAGTATTCTTTCCTATAGAATTCCATGGATAGAGGAGCCTGACAGGCTATAGTCCATGGGGGTCACAAAGAGCTGGACACAATTGAACGACTAACTCTTTCTTTCTACATGAAATAGGGACTGTTTTCATATGTATATAAAAGACTATAGTTATAAGTCACAATTTTTCAAACTTGGTGTACACAAATTTGGATGCAAATAATTCTTTATTGTGAGTAACTATTCTGTATATTGTAGGATGATTAGCAGTATCCCTGTCCTCAACTCACTAGACTCTAATGCAATCTGTTATAATCTTAGCAACCACAGATGTCTCCAGAAATTTCTCCTGGGGGAAAAATATCACCTGTGGTTGAGAAACATTAGTCTAGATCATCCAAATAAATGAATACATTTCAACCACAGTCAAATTGCCTTGTTACATCAAATCAGGGCATAATGATATTATTTACCCTACTAAATAGGCTTGATGTCTAGGCCTGAAAGATATTGGGATGACACCTATACTCATTCCCAGAGCTAGACCTTCACAGGGATGATTTGCTCCAAGGAGAAAATTAACTGTATATTCAGTCCATTTGGCCTCTTCTTTGATAAGAGAGGAAGAAAACAGTCTTGAGGTATGATACAGGCCCAAAATTCTATATTTCTGTCCCCAAAATTCTATATTTCTGTCCTCTATCTTCTTTTAGATCTCTTTCTCTCTCTCCCCTTCCCCTCCCTATTGAAAGAAAAAGTGGAAATTCAGTATAAATCACAGTTCCATTTGTGCAACTTGCCTACTGCTAGCCAAATGATGAAGTTAATATGATATAATTTTTCTAAAACTTATACTGCCTTCTTGCTCTTTTGAATTCACTTTATGATTGTAAGGGATATCAAGAGTCCACTATAGTTTGTACATATTTTTTTCATGATGCCCTAACTTACTAAAAAAAAAATTTATCAGTGCTTTTTTTCACTGAAATTCATTTTTTTTGTACTCAAAACACATGAAGCTTCCAAAACAAGGTGAATCCAATAGCAATAGTCAAAATACATTCTATGTGATGTGAAAATGACCTGCTGTATGGGGGAACTTGCAGGACAAGGAAATAGACATATTTCTGCTGATATAGAGATAGCATTTTAAGATGTTTGCAGAACCACTCATTTCAAAAGTATTCAAGCCAGCACACATCATTTCTCAAAATGTCAGATAAAATTTTAAGTAATATGGAAGATAAATCCCTTTATAGAACATTGTAGTATAATTTGTGGAGCAAATTAAGGCAAGTTACCATAAGGAAAAAGCAATCTGATGAAATTTAAATAAAATATGCTTATTTTTAATATAAAATGAAAAGAATTGATGAATTTATGTGTAAAAATAGTTTCCATGAGGGTAAACTTTTACTAAATAGCTTGCAATTGCCAGACAAAACAGTAGCTATATGATATGAATGTGTACTTATCATATATGCAAATGTATATGGATATACAGTCCTGGGTATTCATTGGAAGGACTGATGCTGAAGCTGAAACTCCAGTACTTTGGCCACCTCATGCGAAGAGTTGACTCGTTGGAAAAGACCCTGATGCTGAGAGGGATTGGGGGCAGGAGGAGTAGGGGACGACGGAGGATGAGATGGCTGGATGGCATCACTGTCTCGATGGGCATGAGTTTGAGGGTACTCCGGGAGTTGGTGATGGACAGGGGGGCCTGGCGTGCTGCGGTTCATGGGGTCGCAAAGAGTCAGACATGACTGAGCAACTGAACTGAACTGAACTGATATGGATATATTAATATATACATGTATATTTGTTAGGCACATCAAGATGAGCTTATGAGAAGTAGTATAGTATAATAATTACTGAACGGTTATGAGTAATTGTTAACAAATGTGATTTTTCTTTTTTTACCAGGACAAGCATTTGGACTACATTTCTTTTTTTTAATTTTTTAATTTTTTAAACTTTTTATTTTATGTTGGAGTATAGCCAGTTAACAATGTTGTGATCATTTCAGGTGAATATCAGAGGGCCTCAGCCACACACACACACACACACACACACACACATGTATCCATTCTCTCCCAAACGCCCCTCCCATCCAGGCTGCCACATAACTTTGAACAGAGCTCCCTATCCTATACATTAGGACCTTGTTCATTCATTTTAAAAAATGCTGTTACCCGTATCTCCAAGTTCTTACCATTTAAGAGATCTTCAACCTGACTTCCCATTGCGAGAACCAGAACCATTTTTTGGTTTTGCCTAAAGGATATTTACTTTGGCCATCTGATGTGAAGAGCCAACTCATTGGAAAAGACCCTAATGCTGGTAAAGATTGAAGGCAGGAGAAGGGGCTGCCAGAGGGTGAGATAGTTGGATGGCATAACAGACTCAATGGACATGAGTTTGAACAAACTCCAGGAGATAATGAAGGACAGGGAAGCCTGGTGTGCTCAAAGAGTCAGACAGGACTTAGTGACTGAACAACAACAAAAGGCTGTTTGGCCACCAAAACACTTGTCTGTTCAGAAATTATAGGGAACTTGTCCCTATTATTTACTACTGCCCTTCCCCGGAAGCCTTCAACTAATGACTGCTGGCATTTTCTGCAAAATTTCCCCTCTCCTGGACCCTTCTGCAGGATACTTTTGAAGCAAGTCTCCCCTAGATTCTAGAGTTTCCCGAGCTCCAGTGACCCATCATGGTTCCTGACTGAATAATAGCCTTTGCTGGCTGCCTGCCCTCCTTTCCCTGTCTTGTATTCTTGCTCCTCTCCCATACCACTTACACGCATATCCTTGTCGGGGTATGCCTTGAGAAAATCCCAAACTAATGCAAATATTTAACATTTCTAGACTGTTATGAAGAGCTATACATCCAGATATTCATTAGTCTAATTTGACTTGAACCCTCCCTTCCTAGCATTATAAATAGGGATAGCACAATCAAATTTTCTAAATGACCATGTTTTCCTCTGAAACATATGGGTCATAACAGTAGTTATTTCATAGTGTTCTTATGGCGACTAGAGGTGATAAAAATAATAACTTTGTAAATTGTCTAGTATACAGTGAGTACTGGCTAAATGATGTCATTCTTGTCATTGTTATATAGGTAGGTCAGGTAGTAGTGGAAGTGGTATTTAAACTCTGTGGTATCTTTCTAGGTAATACTTTGTCTTGTGGTATGACAACTCTTGATAATTACCATGTGTTACTAAAGTCATTTCTGAAATATCTAATTTCAGGTTTGATTTTGTATCAAAGTTGTACATAATTTAGAATAAAATAGTTTTGCAAGGTTTATTTTGAGAAATATTAATTGTATCTATCTCCCACTCTGATTTCCTCTCCCCAAAGGCAACCAACTTTATTCTATTATTATTTTGATATTTATTTATCTTATTTGTCTACATGACATGCTTATATTGTTATTTAATGACTTTGTTTTAGGCATGATCTACTGATGTCCCACATCCTTCCTATAACCAAACTTCACAACATAGCTATACCATTTTATATTTACTCAGCATTAATATCATGTTGACTATGTGAAGCCAAATATAATTGAACTACATCAGTTGGCTTACATTTTTATATAACTGCTAAGTTCCAAATTGTCTATTACCAATTATCTTCTCTGATGACGTTGATATCTATCAGGTATCCTCCTCTATCAGGTATCAGGTATTTCTCTTCTTAGAGAAGAGAAAGAAAGTGGTGTTATCTGATGTGCATAATCTTGATGCTCTGGTTATAGAAAACATCTCTCAGTCTAGCCAACAATTATCATTAGAAACTTAAAGACCATGTTAGTTTACATAGTGTATGTACCACAGCATTAATCCTAAAAGTTATTTTTTAATATGTAATTCAAGATTGAGACATGACACAAAGTCATAGCAAACGCAACATTCCACAAACAAAAACATTAAGCATCATGGCTCAAAACTTTGGGGGTTCTCATTCCTTAAAGAGGAAGAGCCAAAACCTGACAATTAAGGCCTACTACATTCACGGTACTCCAGGCAAACTGAACTACTGTTTTTCCGTAGCTACTTAATACTTTCCCAGTTCTCTGATTCTGTCCATGAGTTTTCTCTACCTTAAAATATCTTTATTTATTCAAGATTCTTGTGGAAGTAGTCATTTCCACCTTTGAGTTCAAATATCAGTACATTCAATGAAAAAATATATTATGGTTATTTATGCATTGTTATCTCCTCCTACTAGACTATCAATTCTTTGAGGACAGGGCAATGTTTCGTTCAGCTTTTAATTTTTAAATCTCCTCCCACATCCCACTTGGAAAAGAAATACAAAATAAATGTCATCTGCAATAAACTTATAGAATAATATTATATTCACACCACATACATAAAAATTGTATTGCAAGGTTTACTATTTGCTTTCTTGAATACACATTTCTTGACCTACTTAGTAAGAAAATCTTGAATTTCATCTGGACACATAAATAAAGAGTAGTTTTTGTACTTGCACTTAAAATTGTGTGTGA